TTGAATGATGACCTTGCCTCTCCCTCTTTGGTACAATAAAAAGTTCAAGTCAAAAGTTCGCAACGAGCACGTATGACAACATCCCAAACACATGTGCGCAGGCTCATTCTCAAACACATTGGCGCGAAATAGAAACAATTTTCTTTTAAAGACGAGAATTTCTAACCGTTATTTTCTCCAAAAAATATAAAGAAATGACCGAAGCAGATAAAGATATATCAAAGGAAATACCTCGATTCCTGAGAAAGTTAGAACGCAAACTATTGAGAAAGTTGCGAAGCATGACTGATTCTCGAGAAATTGGCATTCCTTCATAAAATCTAGTGGCCGATTTCGTAAGAAACTCAAGAAAGCGTGCGCAGATAATCTTCTCCTCCCTACGTTACATAGAGTTTTTACTGTTTTTTGACTAAATAAACCTAAATCTAAATTTAAACTAATACCCCCACTCTACCCACATTTCTTCAATTTATCGTTCAAGAAAAGTTGCGCGAGTAATATCAAATTGCTTCATTATCAATATCATGTAGTAGTCGTTTGTTCTTCAAAAAATTGTGTGCCACCCTCTCTTTACAGCTTGTGACCTTGAAAGGACTTCGTGATTTTATAGAACTTCAGGTTCAAAAACGAGGAAATGATAGGTTCAATCAGTGCTCAACTACTATTAGTTATATTTAAATTTTCTTAAGTGGCATTAGAACATTATTACACCTACCTTATAAAATTAATATTTTTAATAGCAGTAAGCACATATCTCAGGCCACGAAACTCGTGGAGAAGAACGTTCGCGAATTAAATAAAAATATTTATTTTATAAGGAAGGATGTGCAACAATGACCTAATGTTATTGGCCACTTTAAAAATCGAAATATATTAGTAATAGAAAAAAGTACTGCATAATTCTATCTGCACTGCACACAGAAAGTATTTTCCGATTAAAATAAAGTGGAAATCAAGTTCTATCAGCTGGGGCGTGTTTATTCAAAAGAGAACTACGTTACGGATAATTTTTTGAAATTGAAGTTACGAATTAGATAACCACGTCCAACCTGAATGAATGTCAATTCCGTTAACATATCAATAGGAGAATACTGACTGCACAATTTATTATCAAATTTAAATACATACTGTGCTTTTAACATGGTGTCACTCTAAGGTCACGAGCAGGAAGGTCACGAGCATGTCATCAAATCGGGATCTCAAAAACAAAAATTTTGTCTTAACGAATCTCCCGACTGGATGAGTGTTCCCCTCTCCTTCGGGCTCGTGACCTTAAAATGTCACTGTGCAAAGACTGCATCATGGACTGGCTGGCTTGCGAAGTGACCTTCACGGCCGGTCGCCTGCTAGCGCGCGCAGGCAATTGCGGGAATCCCGCGAAAAGCAGGAAACAGAAGCGGGAGACGGGAGGGCAGTGTTTATGATTCAAAGCTGTCTCAATTGAGACGGGTTGCTCTTGGAAAGCTTTTCTGCTTGCCCTCAATCTACAGGTATGAAGCCGCCCGTACAGCACTACGCCTAGAGTGAACTCACAATATTTTAGTGCTCTGGCCAAATGAGTCGAAGTGAGTGTACCAAGAGCAATACATGTGTTTAGTACCAAAAACCTATGACCCTGGGAATGTAGAGAGCATATGTATGAGTGGACTATGTCCACCTGGTAAACCTGGCAAATGTTTATTATTATTATTATTATTATTATTATTATTATTATTATTATTATTATTATTATTATTCATTTCATTGATACATTTAAATGGATTATTGTACAGCTTTACAAAATCAAAGCACAATACATCTATTTTTAAAAGAATTCATAGTTCATCATTTCCCATGAATTTCCGGTCTATCCTTGTTGAGATAATTACTGCTTTCTGCAAAAGTTTGTACATATCTTTATTCAAACCTAGCTGCCTGAGATTCCGCATCAGACACTTAGGGATGACTCCGGTGCTTGAAACAATTATCGGGACGATGTTGACTCTTTCCATATTCCATTGTTTCTTAACGGGTTCCGAACGCTAGGACTCTTTTCCAGACAGCGTCTGAATTCGACCTAGCTAGTGTCAAAATCCTTCCACCGTCGGGACTTGAATATAGGACATCCCAGAGAGAGGCACTGTAGTGACATCGCGTAAGAGATGGCATTTTTTATGTCGTTGCGCCGTGGTTAGCATTTCATAAAATGTCACACCATATGTGGACGTTAGCCCCTCCATAATTAATCTACCATCATCATTTCTCTATATTGTCAACTCCATTTCGATAATGTTTTTGTTCCAGTTTCGTCTATTAAACAACTACTGAGATGTTTGCCTCTGGACATAAATTTATTGTCCAGTGCAGAAAGGGTACATGTTCACATTTCGGCTATTTTAATGTTATGATTGGTAAAACGTCCTTTTAGCTTTAGCTTCCACCGTGAAAAGAGTTTTTCTTTAATATATTACGTTCAAATACTGTAAATGAATCTGAAAAAAATTAAAACATAAAATAATAATAATAATTAATAATAATAATTAATAATTAATAATAATAAGACGTGTTGCAAATAGGTTTTTCTATGCCCTGTAAACGTGACAACCTAAGATGTATCCTTTTTGAATTGAGCGGTTCAAATATAACTTCACTAAGTACACGTTTCATTACGCTAACTTTTGCTTGTTGTGATAGGAGCAGAGATGGGGGAGTGGGTTGCTATTTTGGTAGCAATTCTACAAAAATAAAATCTTTGGTTCGTTTACCAGTGCAAATACCTTTTCTCTTATTCGGGAGCGAAAAATGTTAATTTTAAAATATTTCTAACTGTGCTTTGATGTTAATTTTACTCATGATTCAATTGTCTGTAGTAAAACATAGGGTTGGGATTCTGAAGCTCAAGAAAAAAGTTCAAAACTTCACCCATACATTACATACACTTTTTTTCTGTTTTTAAAGAAAATAAATAAATAAATTACACCCCTACCATCTTTCGTACCGAAAGACACAGAAAAAGTACGACTGTGGCACAAGCCAGGAAAGGGGATGTTCTATAGAAGAAAGCTTCTTCCCATCCCTCGCTTACGCTCAGAAATGAACTTTGCCCTCATCAAACATCACACCCCGAAAAATATCGACTGGAAGAAAAGTAAGCAAATTCAAATCGATTCAAAAGAACACAAACAGACAAATATATTTCATTAATCTTGTAACATATAATGTTAGAGTAAAGTTACTTTTAATCTACACATTCAAAGTTGCAATTACTGGTTGATAAGGAATATCGGTGCTCTCGCCTGCGGTCAATAGATAAATACATCTTTATCTCTCCGAAATGAAAGCACGGCCAGTCTCGTCGTCAGCGATAAAGACAACGGCCTGGAAGTGAGTGATTCCCCAAACTATCGTATCTATATTTCATCGTTATTAGTGTACATTTCTAGACAAATGAAAATATTTAGCGAGTGTGTCGATATGCCTTTCCATAAAATTCGGTAAATAAAAGATGTTGTCCGGTATTAAAAAATATATTATGCTAAAGATCTTTTCGATCGTGTAGCGATCATTCACAGAGCTTGCAGCTTCCGGATCGAAAACAAAGTTATTTTTCGTCTTTTTCTTCAGAACTTTGTTTTCGACCTGGAAGCTGCAAGCCCTGAAGATGTTCGCTACGTGATCGAAAACATCTTTAGCATAATATATTTTTTGATACCGGACAACATCTTTTATTTACCGTATTTAATTATTAGAAGGTGTCTACCTCACCAGCGACCTATTTAATTCCTTTCCATGGTTTAGAGAAATACGAAACAAGAAATAAGATCAAGGAATTTCTTGTTTTCACTTGTTTCTCGCAAATACGTTCTTCTACTCCTGAAATATCTTTAAAATGAATGTTGGGGACACAGCTGTAATATCATGAAAGTGTTATGTGTAAAACTGTATTGATTGATTAGTGATTCCGAGTGCGTCAATTATTAATTTTCCTTAGTCCCGTAAGTGTAGTGCATGCTTTATCGGGGGAGATGGCGGTGATCTTCGACCGCTGGATGGCGAGATCTGGTGCCGTCCTACGTCGGCTTGCGGGGATTTTCCCCTACCAGGTATCTCCCACCAGCTTGGCAACGCCCCAGTCGGGTCAAGCTCTAAGCTCCCGACTGGTGTCCTGACAACTGTGGTAAAGTAGTGTATGGAGTATAAGTGTGAGTAAGTAAGGGGGTGAGGGTAGAAAAAGGAAGAGGAAAGAAAGATTGCGCGCGGTCCGTGGCCCGATTGTTAGGATGTTACTCCAGGATTCACCTGGTGTTGATCGGAGAAACTACAAAAAACTGCCGATCAGAGCCGCCGGTCGTTGGAATTCTCCTCCATACAGAGGCTGAATTCGACCCACCTGTCAAACTAGTATAGAAAATTCTGCCACCGGCGGACTCGAATCCTAGGACCATCCGGTCAGAGGCACTGCAGTGACACCCGTTGATGCCCTGAGCTACCCTTGCCGGTTGTAACATTATACATTATTTTTATTTTGTAAGAACGATTCAAAACTATAAGAAAAGGCACATGAAGTTTAATTGTTTGTAAGTGAATTTGAAAATAATTAATTAAGATTTTCGAAAGAATTTCACAGTTTAAAATTACAAAGTAGTAGTGCTACTGTAGAACGTATGCTCTCGCTTTATTTGCAATTTACTAATAATATAACAGGTGGTATTTGAACCCATGCGAAACTTTCGCACATCGCCGATTGCTTGTACAAACGTGTAAATAATCAATATTCGAAGGAATAACCAATGGAAAATACGTGAATCTAGGGAATGTTGTGTCGACTTGCACCTTTGCTTCAATCGATTCCTTCCTGCGCAATGACTATCACGTGGGAGAGAGAATAAAGACAATCGATTGTTTCCCACTACCCTTGTTCATTGTTCGTCGGCAAGTCGATAGTTCACTTTAAGTTTATTTTGCGCTGAATACAGAAGGCAAAGTCCGCTCGCTTCCTTTCTTAAACACATCCTACCTCCTGGATGAATAGCAGCGAGGAATCTCCGTTATCGGATGAGGAAAACAATCTACAAGCGCTGACTCAGAATGGGGGCTGCAGTGTGAAAGGACCCGCGAATTTCGTCGCCGGAGTCGCTGTGGATGTTTCACGCCAGTCTGTGGGAGTCTTTACTGCGAGAGAGCGAAGTAGTAACGAGGTATAACCCTGCGAGCGCACGGTGATCTTTAGTTACTTCGGTGATTAATACGTATCTTCATATTTTTCGAGGTAAGAAGTAGCAATATAATTTGTAGAGTTCTAGTGTAAATAGTTATAATACATACGGAAATGCTTGCGAAGTATAAGAATGTGAACTGTTTGCTTTCAGGTGTGGTTTATATAAAAGTAACATGGGAATAAATATAATTCATAAACCTCACTTCATTGACAACAGAAAACAACAATTGAGTGTACAATTTTGTTTCAAGCATAGGCAATTTTTATTTTCTGTAAACTATTTTTCCCGAAGAAATGGCACAGCTTTTTTTAGTAAATTTGGACCTTAGTGTAAATAATGCTTATGAGAATGGCGCAGGTCTCATGTTCAAAACAATGTATAATTTTTCCAAAATTTAAAAAAATAAAAATTTATCGGTGTCTTCTTATAACTAAAATTGTGAAGATACTATTCTGTGTCTTAATGAAATGTTCATCATAAACAGATCTTCAAGTAAGGTCACGTTGAATTTTTTGAATTATGAGTATTTTTTGTGTAATTTGGCGGCGATCAAATCGCCTGAACCGAATTTATTGCCTTTCGTGAACGTAATTCGAGGCAATTAAATGCTTCGTAAGTTAGAATTTGTATTTTATTTGATATTTCTTTGTTTCTTACATTAGAATTTTTGTTATAAATTAACAAATAAATCTTATGGAAATTATTTAAAACCTATTTGAAATATATGAAATAAGTGGTGGTGCTACAGAATGGCACAGACTCTCTCATACTAGTTTTCTAGTTTCCTTGGTCTGGGCTAGCTGTTCGGACTTGCCATATACTCTTGCTAGCTACCATCTATCGCCACCCAAGGTACATTTTTTGACATTTTCTCAATATTTCGGTTTCCTATTAGTAGAACCGGAATATTACTTTAAGATTATTTTATTATTTATTTATTTTATTATTTAAGGACAAAATCATGTTCTAAATGGCAATTTTCTTTGACACATTTAGAACGGTTTTAAGAAAATGGCGCTTAAGCTCTACTGTAAATTCGACATTTGAAAATCGTTTTCACAGAAAATGTTTGAGTTTTCAAAAAACTTCATTTAAAGTCATTTAACGCTCATTAACTCACAAATACAACATTGTTTCCAAATTGCTGGAAATGTGCATAATAACGTCGTGAGAGATATTTCAAAGAAATTACATTTGTGTCATTTTTGAAAAAACAAAAAAAAATCCCAAAATGAACTTTGTCGTATTAAAGAGTTCAACTAGCACTATCCGTTCGAAAAATTTGATGGAAAATTTGGGAGCCGTTTTTGAGAAAATGTCGTTTGAGCGTTTCTGAAAATGCGGAATGTTGAGGTAATTTTCACAGAAAAGGTTGAATTTTCTAGAAACTTTATGTAACATTCTTTAAAGCACATGTGTTCATAAATATAATTTTGTAAACAAATTGCTGCTAATATAAATATTAACTTCGTGAGAGACAAGTAAAAAATTACATTTTTGTATTTTTTGACAACACCAAAGAATAGAGCAATACGGCGTTAATGTCATCTCATAGAGTATATTTCGCACTATCCCTACCAATTCTTTAAAGAAAAAATGTGGAGACTTTTTGAGAAAATCTTGTTTTTGTATTTGTTTAAAAATTGTAAATATTGCACGCAATATTGCGTGGAAACTACTAAACGTTTCGAAAAAATATTGACCATAATGAAAGAACTAATTATGAACAACATATTTAATTTCTCGGAAAACCTATCTTCAATTTTGTAGTTGTAGGAAGACGCGGAAAAAATTCATATTTTTAAATTTAGTAAGTTAGAGTTAACCGCTGGACCTATACCATTTTTATAAGTGTATTCTAAAAAAAATATATTCTTAAAAAAACTTAGGTGTCTGTCCTTCGTATTAATGGATAAAAAACAAGGCTCAAAATCAAAAAAGATATAACGAACTCTTCCATACTAGCTACACAATATGGTTCATAGTTATAGTCCCTAACATTAGCTCAGAAACTACAGCTTCAAAGATGTCAGAGAAAAATGGAGAGAAAAATTCTTCGAATATATCTAAAAGATGTGATAATATGCGACTTATTGCACTGATGAGTTCTGCAGTTTTCGAATTATGTTTTTGATGGATCACTCACCATCTCAAGAGAGATGCATATCGGACTTGGAAATTTTGGGGGGTCCATCTCCCCAGGCACTTTATTCGAGTCAGGCTCGTTCTTCCCTAGACCCTCGCCCTAAGGCCCTCGCGGCTGGTGGATGAAAAGAAACCATCGCCCGATTATTGTTACTATTCGTTTTATTATTAAAATTATTATTATTATTTATTTATTATGTACCAAAGGAGTCCTTATATTTCTTTTTCTTTTCAAAGCAATTAATGTTTCTCTGCAAAGAAAAAGCAAATGACCAGACCGGAAAATATCAGAAAAAAGTTTCTACAAGTGGGTAATTCCCCCAGCCTAGACAAGAATAAGAAAAATAAAAGAAAAAATGTCATTTCAAGAAAAACGAAGAAGTGGGGAAAAAAATAACGACAAATGGAGATTCTTAAGAAATTTTTTCCAGGTCATCCGAAATATGGGATTCACGGAATGGTAAACAACAATGGCGAATGTTAAGAAACGTGAACGACAAAATAATTTCAACAAAGAAAGAGATCACGAAAGAAATGGGAAGATACAACGAAAAAAGGTATATGAAGAAAAGAATACTTAACAAATATAGTAGCGATAGATTATAGATGATTAGCGGATAAGACTAAGAATAGAAAAAACGCATTGGGCAACAAACACTGAATAATGGGAGTCCCAGGCTGTAGATAATATTCAATCGAACATATTTCAATGGATACACGGAGACCGAAATCTTGCGCCAAAACCAACACAATTAATGCCCATGGTGAATCTGGAAAAGAAATAGTGAAACCAGCGAATTTGCAACGGGCACTTCTAATTATTCTTTACGCAAAGAAAGTAGACAGACGAAGATTGTGGGCAATAACACACAATTGCATGAATCCGTGTGTTTCAGTCAATTTTCGCAAAAAGTCCATCCTCGTAAAAGAGGAAAAAATAATTTTTAAAAATGTTGAGTAAGCATATACTTTTCTTAAGATTTTCAAAAACAATTCCACATTGACAGGACACATCATTTCTATCTCCTCTGGAAAGTTTGTGCTGATTATTTACTCGCGCAGCGTTAGCGTAAAAGCATACCTAAGATCATACAGAACAAAGATTTCCCTGGTTTTTAACTCGTTTGAAAATGTTTCCATATTTTTCTATCTTTGTGGCCGATACGTCTGAAGAATCACGTGGCAAGCTGGTTTTGCCACACTGAAATCTCTACAGATAACTTTTTTAGAAAATCAACTTTTTATAAAAAAAAGAAAAATGGAAGAGAACACGCTCCAATGCAAGCAGAACTTAGGAGTTGTCCAATTGCATCATTACCCTTATAATTCATTCTACTAGTCTGTACGAAATGCACGCACCAAAAATTTTTATTCCTTCAAAATTAATAACAAATATGACATATTTATTTTATATCAAAATAATTTATTTCTAATATAAATAATTTATTTATTCAAAATAATTTTATTTTATATAAAATAATTTATTTTATATCAAAATAATTACAAGTAAGCTGGGGATAAGTCTGGATTCATAAATCTT